TTGCTGTGAGTGGGTGGTTAGTAGGGGCGGGTGTAACGCAGAGTGTCTCCAAAACGAGACGCGCCGCGTTATTTTTCATGGATGTGCCGTAATTCAGCTTGACAGAGAGTTCGCAATTCTAACAACCACGGGCCAACCGCTCCACACCAGATCCACTTCGTTCTTAGGTACAATAAGAAAGCCCGTTCCCTCCGCTGGTCGAGGGCGCGTAACGACTACTGTGACGTAGCACCACCTCGTTGTATACCGCTGACCGTTGGTTGCACAAGATATCTCACCCCCTTAACCAAATTTCAAAGCCCAAATATTCCACAGCAACAAAAGCGTGATGACGTCGAAAATGGCAGCGTTGGAAACGGCTCGTCGAGAGCTTTGCGAAGCCGTATCGTTTGTTTTATACTCCAGCCTTTCCGTCGTGAAGCACTCGAGCTTTGAACACCCATGAAGGGGGGTGGTATCTGGTGTCACGTACAGGTACACAAATGACATATGCCTGTGACACGCCACGCCAAAGCATGTTGGCGCCACACACGCTCCGAACTGCTGTGCCTACCTTACATCNCACTTGATGGCGAGATATAGTGAAGCCTTGGACACTTTCGCCCCAAACCACTGCCAGTGGGTACTCACACACCTGCTCCACCGTGAACTGACTTCCATGGTTGGGATTACGTCCGGCCTAGCTGAGCTTTCCGGCTGTCCGTGATCGTGTTCACCAGGTATTCGGGTGCTGGGTTGTACTGGGGTTGTCGGCGGTGGGCCGTGACCGATCTACATGTGCCCCCTGTTTTCAAGGAGGCGTCCACCAGCCAAATAAAAGCGGCGGAACTTACATGCATATGCATAGCACGTAATAGCACTGATTCCCATCTGGTTTAAGTTCAGTAAGGAGCACATTCACCGTGCTCTAGCCCACCTTAAAGAGAGGATCCACACGACGAGAGCGGTGCCGTAAAAAGAGGGAACGACAGGGTCCAGCTGTTCCCCGCTTACTACCGCGCTTGTGCAAAACTGC